CCCACTGCAACCTCGACCTGCTGGGCTCCAGCGATCCTTTCACCTCAGCCTTCCAAGTAGCTGGAACTACAGGCACACACTACCACACCTGGCTAATTTTTGATTTATTGTAGAGATGAGATCTCGCCAAATTGCCCAGGCGGGTATCGAACCTGCGGGCTCGGGCAATACACTCACCTCGGCCTCCCAAAGCACTGGGATTACAGGCTGAGCCACTGAGCCCGGCCCAGCTAATTTATTGATTTTTGTTGAAATGAGATCTTACTATGTTCCCCAGTCTGGTCTTGAACTCCTGGACTCAAACAATCCTTCTGCCTCAGCCTGCCAGAGTGCTGGGATTACAGGTATAAGCCACCACACCCGGCCAAGTTTCTGTCTTTTAGGTATAGTGACATGACCACTCCTGTGGTCACTGTAGCACCATCAAAGTCCAATCAGCAGCTCCTCTCTTTGCAGGGGATGCCAAGAAGTGGCTGGCCACAGGTAGGATGGGGTGACTGACAGCAGACACCGACATCAAGGGTTGGGAGATTGTCAAGATGTTGAGTCAGGCCCTGCGTGAGAAGCTTGAAGGTGGGAACTACCGACTGCTAACAGAGGCCCACGTGGGCCATGGCATGGCCAACTCCTGTGACACAGACTGGAGTATATTCCAAGGCTTGGGACACCTTATCTCAATGTTCCCCCGGTCTCCATTCATTCATGTAATGATCCATTAGTTCTTGAGAGATGAGAAATGCACTTTTAGAAGGATTTGGTGCTAGCTCATTATTTATGTTATGACTTAACTCCAGCAACTGGCTGATGCCCCGTGACATTCAGACCCTGAGACGACATGAATGCCCTGTTCCCACCATAATGACTTGTAAATTTAACCCACACATGTTAGGTTAGGTGCTGTTAGAACTCTTAGGGAGGTAAAGTTACAAAAACGGTATTTAGACTGAAACTTAATGAAGCTTGGGAGCAAAAGAATAAACATAGCACAGGTTACTGCCCTCTAAATATCTTCAGCTTTTTTCTTTGCCTCTTGTTATTATGCTAAACATGCCATGCATGGTTTTGCTCATATATATATGGGGGGCAGACGGGAGAGAGAGAGAAAGAGAGAGAGGGAGGGAGAGAGACCGAGAGAGAGTCAAGGTCTCACTGTCACCCGGGCTGGGGTGCAGTGTCATGATCACTGCTCACAGCAGCCTCAACCTCCTGGGCTCAGGTGATCCTTCTGCCTCAGCCTCTGGTGTAGCTGGGACTGCAGGCACACACCACTAGGCTAATTTTTTGAATTTCTGTAGAAACAACGTCTCACTATATTGCCCAGGCTGGTGATGAACAATCCTGGCCTCAAGCAATCCTCCTGCCTCAGCCTCCTAAAGTGTTAAGATTACAGGTAGGAGCCACTGTGCCTGGCTATGGGAAACATTTTTAAAGAAAAAAAATCCGTCACCCTGCTACTGTAACACAGAAAATATTTTTATTTCTAATTTCCAGACTTTGTTTTAGAGCTATGTTTTTTGCTTGGATATGATCACTGTCAATACGCAATTTCGAGATCTACTTTTTTCCACCAAATTTTGTCTTCTTGTTTACAATGATGGCATCATTACAATGATGATAATGTTGATGGCTGCCTTGTGCCATAATAGAACTCCGGATCTTCTCCCTCGAAACAGGCTCCACCCGCTCCTTCCCCATCTCCTCTCCCAGAGTCGACCTTCCTTACTCTTTTTCTCCTCTCTTGCCTCTAATCCAGCAAGAATCCTATAAGCCCCACCTTTGACATATACCCTGTGCTTTCGTTCGCTAGGGCCATGCTTGGTTTGGAGATGGTTTGTCTGGCTCCCCCAGACTCATGTTGAAATCTGACCCCCAGGCCAGAGGTGGAAGGTGTTTGGATCACTAGGGCTAATCTCTTCTTATAAGGACATCAGTCATTTTGAATTATGCCCACCCTGATGATCCCATCTTATTTCCATCAAGACCACATCCCTAGGTATGGTTCGAGGGGCTAGGACTCCAACATATCTTTTGGGGGGACACAATTCAACCCATAACCCCCAGAGCACCAATTCTCCCACCCACCACGCTGATTGAAGCCTCCACCCTTCCTGGCTGGGATTATTGGAGGAACCTCCCACACTTGCCCTCTCTAGTCTACTTTTGACTCCCCATTGCAAACCCTGAAGGAACTCCCAATTCAGAGTGGAAGCTGAGGTCCTTACAGCAGCCCACGGGTCCCTCCTGCCTGCATCTTGTCCTCTCCCACCTCTCTCCCTGCTCCAGCCACCCTGGCCTCTGCTGATCCCCCAGCACATCAGGGATCTTCCTACCTCCTGGCCTTTGTGTTGGTGGTTCCCAGACATCCTCATGGCCCGTACCTCATTCAGTGCCATCACCCACTTCTTGGAGAGGCCTTTCCTGACCGCCTCCACTGAATTCCACCCTGTCCTCTCCGCCAACCCTCCCCCATCCCTATTTCTGTTAGATGTTTGATTTTTCTCTAGAATACTCGTTTCTTTTCTTTTTTTTTGAGTGGGAGTCTCACTCTGTCACCCAGACTGGAGTGGAGTGGCCGCTCCTGGCCACCGCAGCCTCGATCTGCTGGGCTCCGGCGATCCTTCCGCCTCAGCCTTCCAAGTAGCTGGAACTAAGGCGCACGCTACCACGTCCGGCTAATTTTTTTGATTTATTATAGAGATGAGGTCTCGCCTGCCCAGGCGGGTCTCAAACCCGCAGGCTCAGGCAATCCACTCACCTTAGCCTCCCAAAGGCATGGGATTACAGGCTGAGCCACCGAGCCCGGCTTACTTGTTTATTTTCTAACATACTATGCTGTTTACTTATGGTTTTATTTTTTGCCTGTTTCCTGCCCCCACCATCACCCCCAAATATAAACTTCTGAAGGGTTGAAATTTTTGTCTGTTTTGTTATTTGCTCTCTCCCTGGCATCTAAACAGGGCCTGGCCCATAATAGGTGCTCAGTAAATATTTGTGGAATTAATGAGAAATCAGCCAGTGTGTTTTCTCATGAATTACTAAACCACTTATCCTTATTAAGCAATCATCTTATTTTTTATAATTTTTTGTCATTGTAAATAATGCAGCTATTGTGCAATAATAGTTTATTGCATATAGTGATATCATCTATTTTTTAAAGTTATTTCTGGCCTGGCACGGTGGCTCACACCTGTAATCCCAGCACTTTTGGAGGCAGAGGTGAGAGGATTGCCTGAGCCAAGGGGTTCGAGACCAGCCTAGACAACTCAGCAATACCTCGTCTCTACAATAAATAAAAAAATCAACTGGACGAGGTGGAGGGCGCCTGTGGTTCCAGCTACTTGAAAGGCTGAGGTGGAAGGATCACCTGAGCCCAGCAGATTGAGGCTGTGGTGGCCGTGACAGTGTGACTCCGACTCAAAAAAAACTTTTTTTAATTAAAAAAAAAAACTTATTTCTTTGGGTCACAGTTTCAGGGTAAACATTGCCAAGTTGCCTTCCAAAAGGATCTCTATTGACCAATAATGCCTCCAAGCTTTAGTAACTGTTTCTGTGCTGCCTTGACACTGTCGGGTTTTATCTCATCTTTACTTTTTCCTGTTTAATGGGTGTATAAGTGTGACTTGTGATCATTTTGATTTGGCTTTCTTTTTTTTTTTTTGGAAACTGAGTCTCACTTTGTTGTCCAGGCTGGAGTGCAGTGGCACAATCACGGCTCACTGCTGCCTCGACATTCAGGGCTCACATGATCCTTCCATCAGCCTCCTGAGTAGCTGGGACTATAGGTGTGTGCCACAATGCCTGGCTAATTCCTTTTTATAGAGATGAAATCTTGCTATGTTGCCAAGGCTGGTCTCAAACTCCTGGACTCAAGCAATCCTCCCAAAGTGCTGGGATTACAGGTGTGATCCACCACACCCAGATGATTTGCATTTCTTTAACATTTAAATACAATTGTTCATATAGTCTTTAGTTTGTCTTTTGATATGAATTGCCTGATATAAACTCCTAATTTTTTTTGGCAGGAGAAGGGAAAGGGAGGTCTTAGATTCATATTTATTGATCTAAATTCTTTTGGAGGCCACAATATTAATGTGTACTTATATTTGTTAACAATATGCCTCTATCCTACCATTCCTTTCCCTTTGTTTGCATTTCTAATTCTGAATGTGTTTTATTCTCTACAGCTGTGGACTACTGCGCTTCAGAAAACCACGGATGTGAGCATGAGTGTATAAATGCGGATAGCTCCTATTTTTGCCGGTGCCAAGAAGGATTTGCTCTTAACCCAGATAAAAAAACATGCACAAGTAAGTTTTGCACCCACGAACATTTTATGTTATTGCTGTCAGGACTGTGGGCATGGAAATCTCCCAAGCATCGATTCGCATATGATGGTGTCACAGGATCTGATACTGTCTCCCCTCATTCCTCCTCTGTCAGCCCCTTCTTGATGTGTCTTGAGACCATAGGCCACCCTGTCTCAACATCACCATTCAAGGACTTTGATGAAGCTCTCTTTTATGGGCCACCACATGTGGGGGTGTTCTTCCAGCATTCGCTGAGTGTGCTGACGATCAGACCACCTTACTCCATGCTGACTCAGCCTGCCTGTGCCCGTCTGTGTTAACAGGGCTCAAGAAATGTTTTCATTGAAGTTCTGTGGCTTGTGGGCTTCAGCTCTAACTCCACACAAGAACCAGAAAATTGCTGAGCCAAAAAGAATCAAATGTGGTTTCTTCTGGGGGGAGGGAAGGATAGGTGAATGGGAGTTTGCAGAGAACTACTCATTCTTTGTTTGAGTTGTTTAGTTCTATTTGATTTTTAACTATTTGATTTAGTTCTATAAAAATCAGAATTAATTTCAGTCTCCAAAATCTGAACATGAAACTCTGTAAACTGAGGATCCTCATGCATTTTGCAAAAAGATTCTTTAATTTAATTTCATTTTATTTTTTGAGTTGGAGTCTCACTCTGCCACCCAGGCTAGAGTGCAGTGGCATGCTCATGGCCACTGGAGCCTCGACCTGCTGGGTTTAGGCGATCCTTCTGTCTCAGCCTTCCAAATAGCTGAAACTACAGGCATGTGCCACCACGCTCCGGGCTGGTCTCGAACCTGTGAACTCAGGCAATCCTCTCACCTCGGCCTCCTAAAGTCCTGGGATTATAGGCATGAGCCACAATGCCTGGCCAAAGATTCTTTTAAATGCAAATATATAAAGGTATGTCAGACCACATAAGGGATTGTGTGTGGGTTATTATCCTTCTCTAGGGAGGGTCACTTGAGAAAGCTTTTTTTTTTATATAGTTGGGGTCTCACTCTGTCACCCAGACTGGAGTGCAGTGACGTGCTCACAGCTCACTGCAGCCTCTACTTCCTGGGCTCAGGCGATCCTTCTGCCTCAGCCTCCCAAGTAGCTGGGACTATAGGCACACACCATCATACCCGGCTAATTTTTTTTTTTTTTTGTAGAGATGAGGGAGATCTCACTATGTTGTCCAGGCTGATCTCAAACTACTGACCTCAAGCAATCTTCTCACCTCAGCCTCCCAAAGTGCTGGGGTTATAGGTGTGAGCCACCTAGCTGGCCTAGGGTTCATCATTTTTTAAAGTGAATTTTAATAGCAATTTAGAATACGATAAGGCATCTCTGAAGTATACATCAATGACAAAATAAGTTTTTAATTCATAAAAAGTTCACATACCTACAAACTTTCTAAAATGCATCCATTACATAAAGCAGGGTACACCTGCACAAAACCTTTGGAAGTATAAACTTACCTCCTACTTTTCAATCCCTGAGTATCAACAACTTAGAGACACCAGAGCTGAGGGAAGGGGTGGCGTGTGGAATTGTATGGGGTACGTTAAGTCAAAAACATATTTCTGGAGCCCTACCTGTGTACCTTTAGAAATGAATGAGGCCAGCAAGAACTCACTTGTTACCTCAAGAACAACACCAAACCATTCGTGAGGGATCTGCCCCCCCATTACCAACCCAAACACCTCCCATTGGGCTCTGCCTTCAACACGAGATCCAATTTCAGTGTGAAGTTTAGGGGGACAAATGTACAGACTAGAGTGGACATGAACATGTGAAATGATATTATTGTTTTCAGCAGTGTTCCCTGATTATTTTCTTCTTCACAACTCTGGGTACCTCCCACACTGTTCTTTTTTAAAATATTATTTCTTCTTTTATCCATGTTCAAAGAATATTTGTTGAATAAATGAATGAACAGTTAACACTTTTTCATTAGACTTCAAAAAAAAAGGAAATAATAAAGATCTAAGCTAAAATAAAAGAAATAGAACACATAAAATCAATAGAGAAAATTAGGTCATTTTTTTTAGATGATCAATAAAATTGATAAACATCTAGCCAGGCTAGTCAGGGAAAAAAAGGGAGAAGACACAAATTACCAGTATTAGGAATGAGAAAGTTAACTTCACTACAGATCCTACAAACATTGAACGAATAATACAGAAAAATGATGAACAAACTTATGCCAATAACTTTAAGAACTTAGATGAAATGGACAAATTCCTTGAAAGACACAAACTATTGAAGTTTACTCAAGAATAAATAATTAGTTTGAATAAACCTCTATCTACTAAAAGAAGTGGTATTTGTACTTTAAAACCCCTCACAAAGAAAACCTCAGACTTAGTTGGCTTAACTAGAATATTCTACAAAACATTTGAAGAAGAACTAATACTAATTCTACACAGATTATTCCAGAAAATTGAAGAGGAGGGAACATTTTCAACTCATTCTGTGAGGCCAGCATTATCTTCATACTCAACCAGAAAAAAAGACATTAAAAAAACCACACACAAAATATCTCTCACGAAATATATGCAAAAGCTCTTTAAATATTTTTTAGCAAGCAAATCTAATTATATATAAAAAGATCATATACATCATGAGCAAGTTGGATTTATCCCAAGAATTCAAGGTTGGTTTAACATTCAAACTCAATCAATGTAATCCACAATATTAACATACTAGAAAACAAAAACCATATGAGTCATCTCAATAGATATACCAAAAACATTTTTGTATATTTTGCTTAAAATTTCCATGAGTTTAAATTGGGAAGAATGGGAAGAATTGGCATCTTCTTAATGTTTTTTATTTCAAGAGTATTGTCTGTCTTTCTCTTACTCAATTTATTTCCTTTGGTATGGACTGGGAAAACTTATGTATAACAAATTCCTCATTGTGAAAATTATTTATGTAGCTCAAATGTTCATTAAAACAATAAAAATTCTCATCAAAACAAAGATTTCTTTTAAGACTTATTTCAAGCAGTTGTTTTTTTGGGTTTTTTTGAGTTGGAGTCTCACTCTGACACTAAGACTGGAGTGCAGTGGCCGCTCCCAACCACTGCAGCCTCGACCTGCTGGGTTCCGGCGATCCTTCCGCCTCAGCCTTCCAACTAACTGGAACTACAGGCGCGCGCTACTACACCCTGCTAATTTTTTTTTTTTTTTTTATTGTAGAGATGAAGGCTCGCCAAGTTGCCCAGGCAGGTCTCGAACCCGCAGGCTCAGGCAATCCACTCACCTCAGCCTCCCAAAGCGCGGGATTACAGGCTGAGCCACCGAGCCCGGCTATTTCAAGCAGTTTTAAACAGTACATCCAGATTCCACTATGGGAAAATACTTTGTTCAGATCCTTCAATAAAACGGTCTTTCCATAATTGTTAAATACTTATAATAATAAAATTCAATGATAACAAATTTCATAAAACTCTTCTTTCCTGAATGTTTTGGTTTAAATTGGTGTACACCTGGAGATCAAGTTCTCTGACCACAAATCTTGAGATAAAGATTCTATTTACATGCAGCTGAGTCCAGTGAGGAAGGGAGATGTTTTGTACTCCTAGGCCTTATTTTTTCCCGGTTGTGATTTTGTAGCCTAATGCTTGATTCAGTGTTTGAGGGTTTAAGTAGTTTGAAGTTTGACTGGGAAGGTTTAGTTGTTGGGTTTTTTGTTTTGCTTTGTTTTGTTTTGTTTTTGAGTCAGGATTTCACTCTGTGGCCCAAGCTGGAGGGCAGTGGCATGATCACAGCTCACAGCAGCCCCAACCTCCTGGGCTCAAGTGATCTTTCTACCTCAGTCTCCTGATAGCTGGGACGACAGGTGGGTGTCGCCATGCCTGACTAATTTTTTGATTTTGTAGAGATGAGTTTTCACTATGTTGCCCATGCTGGTCTCGAACTCCTGGGCTCAAGCAATCAGTCTGCCTCAGCCTCTCAAAGTGCTGGAATGACAGGCGTGAGCCACCCCACCTGGCCAGTTTAGTTGTTTAAATTGCATAAATTCCATAAAACACTCAGGCTCTCTCTTCCCAGCCTGTAATCTGGTAAACACCACCCAACCAAGACAAAGAAATCATGTTCACAAAAGTTTATTTGTTGCATAAACATTTTATAATATGTCAAGAAGTTTCTCTTAATGGGGGTGTAGGGGAGGAATCTCCCTAAGCATGGAAATAGCTTTATTGAGAGATCCCTTCATGGCATGAGTCTTTGAGGCATAGGATTTTACCTGTGTCAGAACAATGAAGACTGAAAAATCCCTGGTTTCCATATGCTAACTTTATTGTTTTGTTCGTCATTCTTACGATTTTTCTTTCTTTCCAGAGATAGACTACTGCGCCTCACCTGATCATGGATGTCAGCACGAATGTGTTAACACAGATCATTCCTACTCCTGCCGCTGTCTGAAAGGCTTTGTCCTGAATCCAGATAAGAAAACCTGCAGAAGTAAGTCTCACTGGGAGTCGGAGCAGGGCTTGTACCACTAAAGGCTCCTCGAGTTTGTTTTCCTTTCCTTGCAAATCTTAAATGGGATGTACTTATACTCAGTGTTGTGCCTACTAACATTATTCTGCCCTTTATTGTACCTTGGGGCTCACTAGATCCTGTGATGGGGATGATTTTTGGAGATTGATTCCACTGGGTCTGGCCACTGGATTCCTTTAGCCCATGCTGAAGCTCCTGCCTGTCTGAAATGAGGGTGCCCTTTCTCTTCTTCTTATCCCCATAGTATACCTTTGGGACTTAGAGAAAAAGCAAAGACTGGACTCAGAGATGGGAGGTCAGAGGAGCTGGGTTCTTCCAGTCCTACAAGATAAGACACTGAATGGATGCTAAAAGGGGGGAAAACCAGCTTTATTCTCTTTGATAGGTAAAAAGAAAAATGAGACTCTGGGACATCCCAGCAGCAGTCAAGGGATACAGGGTGTCAGCAGGGTGATATTGAGGGTATGCTGAGTTCCTCAAATGCCTGTTGCCCAGCACGTCAAGGGCCATGACTGAGTATCTGAGCATGGACCCAGATGGGACCTCTTTAAGCCAGACTGTTCCTGAAAGACCACTAAAATGGACAAGGACAGAGGTGGTTGTCTTTTTCTTTTTTTCTAATTACTTCATTTATTTATTATAGAGTTGTGGGGTATAGATGAGGATTTACTACATAAGTAGGCTGCATGTAGGTGAAGTTTGGGCTTCTAGGTGGCCCTCATTCCCCCGCCACTGGACCAGGTACCAGGACCAGGCATGTGGCCAGTGGTGGAGGAGAATTTGCTCAAAGCTCTGCATCTCTTACCAGTCTGAGGTCTCTCGACCTGGGCCACTCCCTTTGTGTTATCACCTACTGAATCCTCAACAGGGAGAAAGAGTGCTCAAAGGGTTCCTGGCATTCACAGGTGTGGCATGTTGGTGAATGGGTGAATGAACGAATAAATGAATTCTCTGAAGTGCTCCTTCTGGAGAAATTGCGACTATTATTTGAATTCCTCGGTCTTGTTAGAAAGTTAGCTTTTCTGAGGCATGCGCGTCATGAATTTCTTTCAAAAAGTCTTCTTCGTAGTCAGCCCACACTCATGTGCACTGACTTGTTCGGGGTCTGCTGACCACGTCATTCACAGAACTCTCTGGAGTTTCCATTTAGGGACATATATTTCTGTATGCTCCTTCACCTGCTTCTTCCTGGCGACACTACAGAGGTGTTGTTCAAGGCAGGACTAGTTTCCAAAGGTCTCGCTGCACCTCTCTTCTGGAAATACAGTGGGCTGTCTCGCTGCATCCAGACGAGTCACATCCTGCTCAGGGCACAGATCAACGTGCGTGCTCGTTTGGATAAGTGTTAAACCATGTGTAGTGGCAGATGGTTGCAGGCCCACATTTCAAAACTGAGTCTCTCTTGCGAAACACAATTCTCACTGCCTGGCCTGGATACAAACCCTGGACACATTCAAACATCCAATGAGAATTTTGATCGAGAGCATTCAGAACATGAAAACAATCAGATGGGCTATTTTCCATGAGACTACACATGCCTGCGATCCCTTGGAGGGCTGACTTCTCTGGCCGGGCCGCTCCTCTCTGTCCTCTACACCTTTTGCTAGGAGTGGGTGTGTAAGGGCCTGACTGAACTCAGGGAAAATCACTCACAGGTGGACTCATATTTATGAACCCAAAGCTCTTGTGTGGGCGATGATTAGGTCTGGCTCAGCTCAAACTCTCATTGTGATGGCAAGCTTCCTTGTTTGTTTTATTTATTTATTTTTTGAGTTGGGGTCTTGTTCTATTGCCCAGGCTGCAGTGCAGTGGCACAATCACAACTCATCACAGCCTCAACCTCCTGGGCTCAAGCAATCCTTCCGCATCAGCCTCCCGAGTAGCTGGGACTACAGGTGCGTGCCACTATGCCTGGCTAATTTTTTGATTTTTTTTGTACAGATGAGGTCTTGCTATGTTGTGTATGCTGTCACAAATCCCTGGGTTTAAGCAATCCTCTTGCCTCCCAAAGTGCTGGGATCACAGGCATGAGCCGCTGCACCCAACTCTTGTGCGTTTCTTTATTTTTTGAGTAGGAGTCTCACTCTGTCGCCCAGGCTGGAGTGTAGTGGCACACTCATGGCCTTGACTGCTGGGCTCAGGTGATCCTTCCACCTCAGTCTTTCAAGTTGCTGGAACCACAGGTGTGTGCCACCAAGCCTAGCTAATTAAAAAAAAATTTTTTTTTAATTGTAGAGACAAGGTCTCACCATGTTGCCCAGGCTGGTCTCAAATCTACGGGTTCAGGCAGTCCTCTCGCCTCAGCCTCCCAAAATGCTGAGATTATAGGCGTGAGCCACCATGCCCAGTTCTCATGTGTTTCTAATGGAGGGAAGCAAGTTAGGCATGTGGCCACTGGTGGAGGAGAATTTGCTCAAAGCTCTGCATTTCTTACCAATCATCTGAGCCCCCTGACCTCGGCCACTCCCTCCACAGCTCTGGAGAGGCACTTGGAATAAGAGAAAGGTCCAACCCCACGCAGGCATCATTTTCAAGAGAGAGGGGAGGCTGAGAACAGAAAGGCAAGCAGAGAGAAAGTGACCATTTGGGAATGATTTGACCATTGCCCATTGGCCCCCGGGTGGGCCGATTTACAGGCCGTGGCCAGGCCAGAGACCCTAATGCTCATTCATGTATACTCAGTGGGTATAGCCCTACTTCTTCATCCAACAAAAATTAAATGTGTTTCTGAAACTCAGTCCTCACCATCTCTTCTGATTACATTTTCCATTGTCTTTGCTGTGAGTCCGGCCCTGAGTCCCGAGGTCAACCTCTCAGTGCGACCCCTGACTTCATGCTTGAGCTCAGTCCATTAGGGCAGACAGCTGGAGTCGGAAGTGAGCGCTCACTGTCTCTCTGGAGCATTATGTGGGCAAGAGAAGCCAAGAAATTGTGTTTAAAATCTGGAGTTTGTTATTAGGAGTCTGAGGCCTCTCGAGTGATCTGAGTATTACAGGTCTCGGGTCATTTATATTTAATAGGAGGTTGATGGATGTGGGCTATTTTCAAATCTAATAAGAAATCTATTTTTTAAAAAGAAATTTGATGTCATCGAAATTAAACTGGAAAAAACTGTTCAAGGCAGAATCCTCTTGAAGAAAACACCCTTGGCTGAGGCTTGCTCTTTCTCCTCTTCTGGGCACAATTCCACCTCCTGGAGAGTGCTGGCCTCCATTGAAGGCATGAATTATGAAGGCTGCAGTACAAAGCACAGAAATCGAGACTGGTCTGGTTCCTACTTCTTCCCAGGTAGAGCCCCAGGGCTGAGTCAGATGTAGGTGCACAGCCAGGTGCGGTAGCTCACACCTGTAATCCAAGCTACTCAGGAGGCTGAGGTGAGAGGATCGCTTGAGCCTAGGGGTCCATGCTGCAGTAAGCTATGATCATGCCACTGCACTCCAGCTGGACATCAGAGTGAGGCCCTGTCTCTAAAATAAAAGCAAAAACAAACAAAAGAACAGATGTGGATGTGACCCAACCCACATGCTAGGCACTAGGATTCCTGTTAGGTTAAAACATATATATATATGTATATATATCCCAGAGGGACCTCTAGAATGTCCGGTCAGACCTGCCGGGGATGGGGTGTCTGGTGTTTGCAATCTGGTGCCACAAAGGATACAAAGAATTGCACAGAAGTTAGACTGGAACATATAGTTTATTTAAAAACTAAATTAGAAAGAGAGAAAAGGAGAGAGAGAGATTCACCTCCCCAAGGTAGGGAAGGGGGCCAAAGCTAGGAAACATGGTGGCCATAGCTCAAAGAGCCACGCAGACACATCAGAGTTTAACAAAGCAATGGTGGCTAGTTGCTTGAGGTTGAATGCTTTTAAACATTCCCCTTGATGGGGGAAGGTCATTAAGGTGACTGGGTGGTGGTCTGCTCCACATCATCACAGAGGGCAGGTACACACAGGTACTAATGTCAGGTGATGAACAGCAGGCAGATGGGTGGGTTAGTCACATGACAGTTGCCATGTTGATGGGGTTTGTGTCATGAAGGTCATGAAGAACTGATTAAGTTAACTTGCTGGAGAGGGGGTTATAAAGCAATTATAAATAGCTACCTCTGAGAAATCAGTTCCGTCCTTGGCTAATGATTAGAGGGTAAAGTGAACTGCTAAAGAAATATGACAGAATTAGGCAATGATAAAATAGCTGCTCATTGGGTGTATTGATTCCATGTTATGTCCTTTCAGGTACCATGGTGGGTGCTCCCTGTAGTTTTTCACACTCTAAAAAAACTGGTGTGAAGCCTACAGGTTGGACTGAGATAGGATACGTGAGGTCCAGGCTTGGCAATGTCACTTGTATTGGTTGTGTGACCTACTGTCTGTGCATTCAGCAGGCATCAAAATGTACTGGCTTGGGTCACCAATCTTCCGTGTTTGTAGTCTTACTTCTTCAGTTAGGGCTCTGACTCTTGAATTTTTTCCTTTTTTTTTTGAATCGGAGTCTCACTCTTGTCACCCAGGCTGGAGTGCAGTGGCACGGTCACAGCCACCGCAGCCTCCACCTGCTGGGCTTAGGTGATCCTTCCGCCTCAGCCTTCCAAGTAGCTGGAA